CGACACACACGACACACACACACACACACACACTACACACACACACAACACACACACACACACAACAACACACACACACACACACACACACACACACACACACACACANACACACACACATACACACACACACACACATATATATATATATACATATATTTATATATATATATATATTAATGGTATCTATTGTATACTAGAAGCTGCATTTTTATTGGCTTCGAACTGCACAGTAAATGGTCTAGTTCTATTCACATACCATGTTTTTCTTGATGTACTCACCTGCTAGTCCGCGGATTTACCTTGGTTTTATTTTGCCTCATGTCAAATTTATCCGGGGCCGCTCCTTCTAAGTCTATCGACAGTCGTAGTACGGATACGGTCGTACAGGACTCTTTGCTGATCAAGACTTGTTCTGGCATTTTATTCTTAGAAGTATTGAACGCTGTATCGTGTTTTCAGCCCATGTTTTCTGGGAGTTAACAATGTATCATTTCTTCATTTCTAATATAGACCATATCGCTACACACGTATCTTTTCGACTACGAGTTCAACGAGTCGATTTTGGCGTTCACCGAGACGCAAATCATCTTCTTCGCCGGCTTGAAGAAATGTATGTAGGTCTTCTTTTCCATTTCCAAGCCGGCTTTTGTGCAGTTTTTCGAAATGCATGGTGTATGTCCGGGTTCACTGCTTCTGTCTGCATGCACTTCGCTCACCGCGCTGCTATTGTTTTCTTCCTTAACTGTCACTGCTATGTTTAGACTTTTCTTTCCTTGTTTCTGTGATTTTTAATACCTGGAAGTGTCTTATTCTCGTTTGATGGCACACTGCTTACTACATACACACCTACCCTGAATTTGCTCATAAGTGGCGTACTTCAAACAACTGGAGTTGAAGCCTGAGGACAGGAAGGAGGGGAGACCAGAATTAGTCTTCATCGAGAAGCAACGGAATGGCTTAGAAGGACAATTCCAAGAACTTTGGACTCATTTCCGGACCAGTAAGGTATGGGTATATATTGCTCTTTCCAGTGGTTTTGGCTTATGGCGCCTACAACGAGCGCCGGTATATATCAGTCAAAGCAAAGAACGAATTACTACCATACATTGGTTTACATACTGGGAAGTCAGGATATATATATTGCAAGCGAAATGCCGTTAGAATTAACAGCTGGTACTTAAATACCTCTCGTCATAGCAAATCAAAAAGTTAGTTTCTCCTATGATATGAAGTTTCGCATTCACACAGAACTTCTGCAGATAAACGAGACGAGCCTTGACAAGCTTCAGTTGATTTCAAGTAGTTATAATAGTGCACTCACAGTTAAAATTTCACATCTTCACTATACACAAGGAGGGCAAATCTCTTGGGTATATAAAGAAGGATACTTGGGATGGAAAGTTCTATCAGACATGGCTAGACTTCATCGAGACGAAGAAGGGGAAAGATGACGATATGGAGCTGGTATGTGTGCTTCGCACTTCCAATATAGAACCGCTCTTCAGCGAGGACGATGACTAAAGTTCGACAGATTTTGCTTTTTCACTGGTTAGACATCGCCTCTCATATGCCAATAGTGTGATCGAACACTTCACGCGCGGTTTAATAGGAGCAGTTCGTCCGCGATGTATTTTTTTGTATAAACGGATTGCCAAAATGTACCAATCACAATATATGAAATATTTTAGTGCCGTCCGTTGAGTGCTGAAGTTTGAAGAGGAGTGCGTTATACTGAGTTGGTAAAAGCGCCATCCCCGTGTTTCTGACACCACTTGATCCTGGTCTCGGCTGTCACACCCACCTCTGTGCGATGAGACAAGGAGGAGAGCTATGCGAGACGTACAAACTAATCAAATACATGAGCGTGCCGACGTCTATAATAGCAACACCATAAGAGAGTAGTCGTTCACGTGTTGAGTTTCGTTCTTGCAGGTGGACGTTTCCTCATATATTGGCCGAGTCCTGGCCGTCAAAGATGGAGACGAACAAATCACCATCAAACGCGCGTGTGCATTCAGTGCTACAATCATGGACAAGTTCTTCCGGGGAAAGTTGGAGGACATTATTGAGAACGAAGTGAAGCGTAAACACAGCGAGCTTAGCGACGATATTGAGAAAGCCATCACCGATCCGGCCAAGGTAAAGTTCGAAGGCGGTATGCATACTATGTCGTTATGCACAATTTGCATGTATTGGAATGTGTTCGATTAACATTAAGTATTTTAGCTCGTATGGAACTTGCCGGTGAGAATAGTGCAATCATTTGCTTGTTTGCTAGATAGTCTGTCACTCTCTGTCTTACGCCACTGTATTTCGTATCGTCGGACATTTTTATGAACGCATTATGTGCCTTAGGCTCGAGGCTAGTCACTGAGACTGTGTGTCGACTATCTACCTTCAGTGGTGTTTTATCGATGGCGTGCCATTTTGAACTACCAAGAGCAAGGCTGGTAGATGGGCCAGTCAGACATATGGAGTCACACCATCCATCTACTCTTCTTCCCACTTTAACCACTTGCCACCAACACCCCAATCGCCATTTACAGGTCAATATGAAGCTGAACGCTGATCTGCTGGAAATCTGCTACTTCCCGATCGTCCAAAGTGGCGGTAAATACGATCTCAAGATATCAGCAGCATCGAACGACGACATACTGCAGCCCGATATCGTGATTGCCAGTTTAGGAACACGGTAATGTAACACAGTTGCCTGCGTATAAATGTAGCACGTACAGCAGTGTATGATTTTATATCACGTTTCAGATGAGGATGACATGCGTTTCAATCGCTGCGCTCGGTTGCTGGCTTGTTATTTGTTATGCCTGTTTGTGCCCAACACAATCTACAATGCTAGACCGTCACTGTTCAACCATACTTTTGATTCAATTCTTCATAAGACTTAACCTACAAACTCCATGTTCCTCCGTGGGGGTTTGAACTTGGTTTGCTCGATGTAGTACCTTTGTTGTTACTCGTAGATTTGTTCTTTCACCTTCTAACACTCCTTTCTCTTCCTTCTACCAATCCTGTCCCTGGCGTACAAACAGGTACAAATCATACTGTAGCAATATCGCTCGTACATATATGATTAATCCGACCCCGGATCAGACTGAGGCCTACAAGTTGATTGTGAAGCTTCGTGGTATGGTCATCGCTAAGTTTCTACCAGGGGTGGAGCTGAGTGCGGTAAGTATATCGACGTCATTTTACTCACTTTATATCTATTATAGAGTGCAGGATGTTACAGTAAGTTTCCACACTTCATCTCTGGCGCAAGAGCGCCTGTCTTGCGCCTGTATCTGTGGCGCTTCATTCGTATCTGGGCGCAGATATCGGTTTTTCTTCTGACTTATACCTACACCGAGTGAGGAGATGCAGCGGCTTTGCGTATTCGGTAATCATAGTTTCTGGGATCGATTGTACTTTCTTGTTCTGCGTTATGCTCGACAGCTTCACTAACTCGGACTACCCACCCACTCCCTGCAAACCAGTTGTACACTCTATGTACCGACTACCTCGAGGCAAATAAGCCTGAATGGAGGGGCTACTTTGTAAAGAACATAGGGTTTGGCATCGGTATCGAATTCCGCGACTCTGACACTGTCATCAACGCCAAAAGCCACTACAAAGCACTGGTATGTGCAAGATGTGTAGCTAGCTTTTTTCTTTTCTTTTCTTTTTTTCGCTGTCTTAAGCTTCAATCATCCACCTCATCTGATGGAAATCTTCTATAGTTCAGTTACATTCATTTCGCAGATTCGCTTTCACTGATGTGTGCGGGAACCGTTGTGGTGACGATCACAATCACCCATAATACACACGTCCTTTCAAAGTCTAAAAAGCCTTGCTTAATCTACATCTTTGCTATATCGGGGCACACCAGAATGGGATGACGTTCAATCTCAGCATAGGCCTCCAGGGAATACCCATCGCCGGCGGAAAAGGAAAGGGCAAAGTATTTGCGGTGTCTGTAGCGGACACTGTGCTCATACAGCAGGGCGAGATCACCGTACTTACCGACCGTTGCGCTCTCAAGTACAACGATATTGTCTACTCACTAGAAGATGAGGTACGTGATGGTGTGAGCATATGTATACTAAGTTCACACTCCTTGTTCATGTGGTGTCGATAGTCAATCAGGGTTCTGGCCTGATTTGTGGTTGCGAGAAATGATGCACCTTTCGGCGATCGTCTACCTCTAAAAGCAGCACTGCTGTGACCATTCCAGTGCTGAGATCTATGTAGAAGTGTGTTCTGAAATACGGTAGAGTTTGGCATGCAATGGGAAGGTTTCAATCCACGGGTTATATTGAAATCATTGGTATCAAACAGGAAGACAAGGAGTCGACAAAGAAGAAGAGTTCAAGATCACACACAACGTCAGCGGGCGACTACGAAGCACCAGTGGGCAGACAGACGCGCAGCAACGTACTCAATTCACGCACACGCGGAGAGGATAAGAAGAAGCTCTCAGACGACGCCGGTATAAGGCAAAAGCAGGCTGAGTTATTACAGGTATGCGTATGCGGGATTGGACGACAAAAGTATCGTTTGTGTTTGTTGGGTTTAGCGTACGCTGACGGATTGATAACGAGTGCATATATCAGCAGAAGCGTAGACTGGATACAGTTTGAAGCTATTTACACTTCAGATGTATTGGGTTGAGTATGTTATAAATTGCAATATCGGGTTCGGCGTGCAGGCGTCGAAAACACACATCACACTCGATACCAGATTGCATCAATCAGCCACTTCCGTCAGTGGTATCTGCTCATATGGACAGTCTCGGGTAACAATGAAATATACCTGCGGGGGAGGTGATGTTGCGATAGGTTCGCAGTTTGTCAGGTACACTCATGTGTGGTACATGGTGGTAGCTTTGAGCTCTAAGTCCTGCACATTATCTGATTGATCTGTTACAGATCATCAACGCGAATGCTCGGCGGAGGATTCTGGAAGGCCAAGATGATGAATCTGAGAAGCGACTAGACATCCGACAGTACACGGCCTATAACAGGCTAAGCGAGATCCCCCTCAACAAGAGCGCACTCAGTCAGCAACGCATCTACGTCGATCACAAGGTATATCATGTTTCATTATCTGTGTATATCAAAGGTCTTCCGTCGATTTGTGTGCGGATGCAGATAATATGGCCAGACCTCCAATGTAAGCACGAGGCGTGCTTGGTAGACGCGCGTAGGTGGACAACAGTATATATATATATATATAAACATACATAAATATATATACATGCATACAAACATGCATACACACACAAACACATACATGCATGCAAACATGCATACACACACACACAAACACACGCACACACACACACACACACAGACACACACACACAGACATACACACACAGACACACAGACACACACACTCACTCTCTCTCACAAACACATGTTTATATAT